GACGGGGGTGGATGCAGGCTGCAGGTGCGAAGAAGCAGGCATCCTTCTGGGAAGAGCTGCTGACCTGCCCAGGCAGGCTGGGCCACGTTCCACACACAGAAGACTACAGAGAGTTCGTAGAGGCTAAAATCTGAATGTTTAAAACCACTGATAAGCAGCATTCTAGATGTTGTCATACTACTCGGATCTACAATCAATACCCATGGAAGCAGCAGTCAAGAAACCAGACAATGTAGTGCACTGGGCAAATCTGCCACAAGGGACCACCTTAAAGTGTGGAAGAGCAAAGACATCACTCTGAGGGCTAAGGTGCTCCTAACCCAAGCCATGGTATTTTCAACCGCCTCATGTGCATGTGAGAGCTGGACAAGGAATAAGGAAAACCGAAGGAGAGTTGATGCCTCTGAATTGTGCTGTTGGCGAAGAATGCTGAATACACCATGGGCTGCCAGAGACAAGGAGCTCTGGTAGCGCAGTGCTTTAAGCATTTGGTGGCTCCCCAAAACAGGTCAGCAGTTCAAACTCACCGGCTGCTGCCCAGGATAAAGATGAGGCAGTCAGCCTCCATGAGGACCGACAGCCTTGGAAACCCTCTGGGGCAGTTCTCTGTCCGACTGTGAGCCCCCGGATCAACTCACTGGCCATGGTTCGTTCATGGGTCCGTTTTTGAATCTTTATGGAAGCAGATCACCGGTCTTTCTCCCATGGAGTACTTAACCACTGTGCCACCAGGGCCCTGCTTACAGGACAGTGTGTGATAAACAAGCCCCACAGTGAACATTTAGCAAGTCTATGAATTGGAACACGCAGAAGCAGCAGCTGAAACGTGCACCATGCGTTTTGGATGCAGAAGGTTGGTTCAGATTCGGGTCAGCTGGGGTTCTCAGCATCACACCAATGACATTTTGGACTGAATAATTCTTTTTGTTGTGGGGTTGTTCTGGGCACTGTAGGAAATTAGTAGCATTGCTGGTTTCCACCCACTGAATGCCAACAGCACCCACTGCATTTGTGACAACAAAACTGTCTCTAGATGTCACCAAATGTCCTGTGGGGGCCAAGCCCACCCCTGGCTGAGGACACTGAACCGTACGAAGTCTCCTCTAGGAATGAGGAAAACAACTATTGCTTAGTCATGGCATCAGGGAAAATGAAATCTTCTGCGGTACCCACAATATCAGAGCTCTCATAGTGTAGCGCCTAAGGCACTTGACTGCTAACCAGAAGGCTGGCGGTTCAAACCCACCGGCCACTCCTCGGAAGGAAGATTGGGCCAAGGAGGGTCGCTATGAGTCGGGTCCGACTCGACGGCACATAACAACAACCCACAATATCACCGTTTACAGGAAACAGTCCCAAATAAGGTCATAGCATTTACAGAAACTTTTCATCCCCAAAGAGGTACTAGGTGGAAATGTTCAAGGCCCAGATGTGAACCAGAAAGAACCCTTTCCTTTACAGCAGCACCATTTGCTGGTAATGCTAAGCCTGTGGCTTCTCTGGGGCCGCTGGAACTTTTGAACAGCTTAGGCGCACGCAGACAGCACTGTTTATAACGTAACTTTAATGGCCGTGTGCCGATTCCGTGAACATTTGGACTGAACAGCATAGAAGGTGAACCCCACGATAACCAAACGGGGAGGAGCCTGCCGCTGAACACAGCAGTTCCTGCTGAGCACTCACTTGGAGAAGAGCAGGTGGGTTTGAAGGTCCACTGAGCAACGTGC